TGTTAATCAATGAAATTAGTATTATGTGATACAATATGCTATATCTAAAAATTAGGAGTAAATGTAGGTAATTATGAAAAGATATTAAATCATAGTTAGGGAATTAGTTATTCTTATATAGCTATAATATAGTAACTATGCAATGAAATATGTAGTAATAATTGTGCAATGATTAGATAGTTAAAAGGCAATCCTTATGTAATAATTATCTAATATATCTGTAATTTTAGATCAATTTAAAATGTATAAATAGGACAAGTTAGGATTATTAAAAAGGAGGCGATCTAGAGAAGTAATTAATCTAGAAAGAATGTAATACAAAGAATTAGTATTGATAATTATGCAATCACTTATAATGTAATAATGTTTTAATAAAACACTTTCTTTATGTTTAATAAAATTATTTTTTTATTTATTTCTCGTAATGTTTGTGTAATCTACTTATGTGTTACTTCTATCACAGTTCATTAAGTCTTCATACTTAAATGAATCGTTATATGATTTAGCTTAAAAAAGTCATAATGAATTTATAATCTTTGATGACAGGTAACAGCAGCGATCAAGAATATTTCATCAAATTAACTGAAAATTTGTAAAATAACAAACTCAATCTCTTACTTAAAAATAAACATCCTATTTTTTGGATAACAATACATTCAGCTATAGTAGTTTATCTAGTTTTAACATATATTTTTAATCCTTCTTCCATAATATCATTTTTTAAAATTAATTTTTTAAATAAATCCTTAAATTGATGTAATCTTTTAAAATAGCCAATTAAAATATTACGATATTATATGATTTTTGCTGCAAACTCATGTTGTAAAATATTATGTGATATAAGATTTAAACAATGTATAATATATTGAACATTAAAGATTTTTGAAAATTGTATTAATATCAAATTTTATGCTAAAAAATATTAGGTCTATTATTAGTTACAATAATACAAAATTTATTAATACTAACTTTATTAAGAACTTTAAGAATTTCTTTTGCAATCAATTTTCCTGTATGTGATTTTTCTGTCATATCTTTTATTTGAAATAAATATTTTTCTCAAGTTGGTATAAGAATCATAAAAGTCTATAAAGATTATCTAGTAGGTAATATCCATCTATCAAGTGCTATAATTTTTAATTATAAAAAATTTTATTTATTAAAAAATAATTATAATATATATATTATTATATATTTACCTAATGTTAAATTATTGGTAATTTCTAAAATTCTTTCAATTTATAAATTTATTTTTGTCAATTCTTGCTCAAGAAGTATATTTGCAAACCTTTTCTTAATAGTATAATATAACCTTCACATAATATTTTTAATAGATTAATAAAAAATGGATTTTTGATTATGGCAAATGCTATATTACAACAAACAAATATTTTAATTAAAGTACTGTCTATTATTTTTTATTTACTATTAGATATTTTGTTATTATTATAATGTTAGAGTAAATTGGATTACTTTTGATCAGTTTTGATATGCTTTATATATTTCTTTATATTTTTTTCATAATCTAAAACAATTAACTCATTTGCAACTTCTTTTGCAAATTTGTATACTATATTTTCTAGATATTTTTCACAATGAAAAGCTAAATATTGACACATTTTTGTGATCTATCATTATTCCATTCAAACTGATAATACATACAAATAATTTTCTATTAATCACAAGATATTTTTTTACCTTTGATTATATATTTTTATACTGTTGTAAATTTTCTTCTACCTCCTTTCTTTTTATCATTACTATCATTAGTTTCACTTGTATTTTTTGATAAAAAATTACAAATTTTATTATTATCAGTTAAAGAATTTTATTCATTTTTATTTAATAAAATTAATTTTCAAAGAAAAGTAGAAAACTAAACGAAATTATTTCTTTAAAATAAAATTAAAATTAAAATCAAAGTTTAAGATTATCAAAAAATAATTTAAATATAAAATTAATAATAACAGGATTAATCAGACTAGTCTTTTATTTCTAAAAGAAAAACAAATATAAGGAGGAAAGTTATTATTGATTATCAATTGCATCAAATTTTTATATATAATTTAATTGCAGTAATTATAACAATAACAATTAAATATATGCAACTTATTTTAAGTTGCAACTAATTGCTACTTATAGTTTGAGTTGTAGCTAATTGCTACTTATAATTTAAGTTGCGTCATATTATTAATTATAACAAACTATAATAAATGTTGCAACAAAATTCTAAAATTTAACAATTATACTAATTTTTAAATTAATTATGGTTATCAACTTTAATTATATATTTTTGTATTTATTTGATATAGATATGCTTATTAATTATATTTATATAATGAATAGAAAACATTATTAAACCTAGAATAAATATAGTAAAAATAATTAATTATATATTAATTTAACTTTTGAATAGATAAATATCAGAATATTTTTATATCATCTAGTATGACTTATGTAATTGTTTTGAATTAATTAAGAAAATATATTTTGATATTTAAGATATGAAAGTTTTGCAGTAAAAAAGTATGAAACTCAAAAAAAAATTTTTTTTTTTAAGTTAATATACTTATTTACTAAAAATATTATATTTAACTTATAAATAAAATTTTAATTTTTTTAAAGTTTTATATTTTTTTATTCTAAAGCATCATATTCAAATATTTGTTTTAAAAATAGTATTATAATTAAGAAGTAACAATTTAATAAGTTACAACTTGAATTATAATTAATTGCAGCTTCTTTTACAAATTATTTTAATATAAAAATTATGTAATTTTAGCAATTATTTTTTTCTTAATATCTTATTTTTGATTAGTTTAATAATTTTAAATTTATATTTATTAAAAAGATCTCAATAAAATAATTCTAATTATTATATTAAAATATAATCATTAAATTAAAAAATATTTCATTTAATAATATTATAAATATAAGACTTATTTATTAATTAAAATACTAAAATATTTAAATACTTTTTAAAAGATTTTAATTTTATAATAAAAATTAATTTTAAAGAATATTAGAAAATAATTTTGAAAATTATTATTAAATTATAAGCAAATTTTTTATTATTTTTATTATATTCTAAACTAATAAAATTTAAATTTATTAATTAAGGTTATTAATAAATAATAAATTTTTATTTTAAAATATAATTATATATATAAAATTAATTATTCAAAATTAATAAAATTAATTATAATTTACAATTAATCTTTATATAGATATAATAAATTTTTAATATTTAACCAATTAAATATATTAAATTTACTTCTTTATAATAAACTAGCTAATACAATTATATAATAAAATCGAGATTCAGATAATTAAAATTCATTATATCAAATTGATTATATAGGATGAGAATGCGAAAAGTAACTAAATTATAAAAAAACTTTTAAAAATGATTTTTTTTTAAATCTGAAACTTGATTAAACTTAATTGATTTTAGAAAAACTTATTAGAAGTTTAGGTAAAGATATTTATTATAAACAAATAGTTTAATCATAAATAAATATAAATATTTTAAAACTCAAATTTTCTAAAAATAGTTTAGAGAGGTATTATTATATTAGATAATTAAACAAAATGCTATTTTAAAAAAATATTTAATATTTTTAATTTTTAATAAATTTATATAATAATAGTTAATAATAAAAGTTAATAAAATAATTTAATTACTTTTTAATTTTTAAAATTTATAGAAGCTAAGTAAAAATCTATTAATATACTTATAAAAAAAAAAATACTAAATAAGATTATAAAAACATGAATTATATATTATGATTAAACCTTTTTTTTACTTAATATTTTATATATTTATAAAAATTTATTAATTTTATAATTAAAAACAAAGTTAAAAAAATTGGTTTTAATAAATTTTATATAAAATAAGAAGTATATACTGTTATATTATAATTATTAATATTTAATTTTTGATCTATCTATCTATCTGTAAAATATAAAATTTTACTAATGATTAGCAGTAATAATTATAATATGAAAAATAGCTTTACATCAGAATTTTTTTTTATTTAGGATTATTATTCTTTAAAATTATTTAAAAATATATATATAGTATAGAAATAAATAGGATAGTAATAAATATTAATTTATTATTTAATATGATTTCAAAATCAATTAAATAATAGTAATAATGAAAAACAAATTACATTAAATTATTTTTAGTTATTTAATTTATTTAATTACTTAAACTATATAACAATTTATTTATCTAATAATTTACGATTTAAAAAATAATATTAGATTTTGCTAATTGATCTTAAAATAAATGTATATTTAAAATTAAAATTTATAATAATTAATTAAATTCATAATGTATTTATTTTATAATAATAAAATTAATAAAATAATGAATTAGACTTAGTTTATATTAAGTTAGTTAGATTTAAATATTAATAGACTAAGTTAAGCTTATTTTTTTTTTAAAAAATCTAATATAAAGGATTTTGATTTATATTTTGCAAATTATAATAGATATACTAAATGATTATCATTGTTTCAATAATAATACCGTAATAGTATTTTAATATCAATCCTTTTACATTATTTAATTAATTTTTACTAGAAATGATATATCATATTTCAACTTACGATTGATTAACAAATACCTTCGATAATAATTGAGCGAAATACAGTTCAACATGAAAGGGAAAGCATGCGACCTTAGTACTTTATCTTTCTCGTAATCGAGGTTTATTTTTTGGTAAACAGCAAATTGGGTAATATTGACCGTTGATTCCCGTGAATTCATCGATTTGTTCCAAAATTATGTTGCCAAACGTTAAGAAACCCAATTATTATTACGGATTCCTTTACAAATCGAATTTAAGAACGTAACGATTGGTTATCAAAGATTTAAAAAGATTTACTAGATTGCAACACAAGATTAATTTGAACTTACAGTTTCTCACAATTACAGTATTTTCTTTATTTTGATCAGGGAAAAAAAATAATAACACCATGCGAATAAAATCATGACGCAAAAGGGAAAATCAACAACACAAAACGTAATCCTTTTCTGTTGATTTTATCTCTATAAACACACGAGAAACGATCTAATGTACAAGACTAAACAAATTATATTTAAGCAATGAAAATGAATATTCATTGATAGAAAATTATTATTGGAATGGGTTATGGATTATCTTGCTTAATTTGTAAGACAAATAAGAATAATGAATATAATGTTTATGAAAAAGATAACGTTGATTTCCGTGCGTGCGGGTTATCTTATCTTTGAGATAGGATATTCGTAACAAATGAGTTAATATATTTCTCGCGATTGTCAAAGCAAGATTATCAGTAGGTGTGCCCTTGTACGCTATAAATAAACGGTAATGAACTTCAAAATGGCGTAATAAACATTGGATGCGGTGATTCATTGATGTTATAGGTTTGAGATAAAAAAATTTAATAACTTCATAAATTTTGATATGTGAATGTTTAATTACTTATCAATGCTTATACAGGATCTATTAGGTCATTATGATTTTGACAGAGAAAAAAATTTGTTCAAATGACCTATCACATAATCATACCATTTTAATTTGTTTTATGCATGAATCTTTGGTAAATAATTTATGCAAACATTTGCCATTATAATAAAATTTTCCTTTCCCAATCACATTTATGTAAACAATTACTACAGTTAGCAAAAAAAAAGCTTACGTTTTTTTTTAATTGGAAATTTGTTTATTATTTTAAAGCATTTGATTTCTCTGGGAAAAGGTTTTTGCATGATGTTTATTTGTTTATTCAACTTTTGTTTATAGGCTGAAGTAACTCTCAAGTATAGAATTTACTACAGAAAACATTAATCCAAATTACAAATTCAATTCTTAATCCTAAAAAAGGTTTCTTGGGAGGTGGAAAAAAATTTTTTTGTTTGCTTTTTTTTTTATTGGGCCATCAACAAACTCGAAAAAATTTTTTCATATATTGATACCATTTCTCTTTGATAAAAAAAAAAATAAATAAAAAAAAAAAGGCGTAATTATCGGCGTAGATTAATGGTTGCACGTTTTTATATATTTATTTTTCCTTCATAAAAAAACCTAAAATTTTTTAAAAAGAATAATATTTTATTTTTTTAATGTCACTTGATCTGTCATCATAAACTATCATGCATAATAAACTGTATGGCGACTAATTAAGTTATCACCCAACATAAACTTTCATTCCTCAAAAACGCCTTCTCAAAAAAAAAAAAATTATGGTTCCTTAATCTTTACAAAACGAGTAATTTTTTCTTTTGACACATTTTATATTGTAACACCAAAAATAAAATAATCCGAAAGTATTAAAGTATTAATAACAATTCCGTTATGCATTATCAAATAAATATTTATTAAAAAATGTTTAAACATGTCAAAAATATTTTAATATTTTGAATACAAGGAAAATGTAAATCAAATCGTATCTTTCGGGAATCATCGAACGTACATGATTCATTTATATTTTTTCGCATTTAATAACAGTTAACTGAATATCTAATGTTTATATTAAATTTATGTTGCTATGTTGCTATGTTTTTTAAAATATATATTGACTAATGCGACCGTTTCAATACGTTACGGATTGATTTTAAATTAATAAACAAATAGGTAATTACGATCAATTTCATGTGTGATAACATGAAACGAGAGGTTTGTAGTATAACATCATTCATTGAATAATTCTCATCAGATGACTTCTGAAATCATGAAATCATCGAATATCGAATGAAAAAAGCTGCCAATTTTTAATTTTAAATTCAGAGATATGATCCATACTCGTAAAGAGTGGCATTATTTCTTTCATTTCTAATTTAAGAGAAATGATAAACTTGTAAGAGTGGCATTATTTCTGTCATTTCTAATTTAAGAGAGATGATAAACATTCATGCGCGAAATTCTAAACATCTGATTGTTTATGTAAAAATAGTTAGATTCAAATAAAAGAACTGTTAAAAAGAGTGAAATGCGCAGGTTTGTTTATTTTCCAAAAAAGATCGCAAATAAAATGTATAATATGATTAATATGATTATTAATAATTAGTTGCCAAAACAATCGATCGTTACATAATGTAGTTCTGGCCAAATCTGCTCACGTAAGAAATTTCCTTAAATCTCAATTAAATAAGAATTTACTAATCATCACGTTATCTCTTCAATTATAAACCTCGAGTTAATAATAATAATAAGGTTTACAAATCTTGCCAAACAATTACACAATGGTTTTGTGACCAGTCGAGAAATGGAGCACCGAATAAACCCTAATAAAATTCACCTATCACAAAAAAAATGTCATACGCTTTCTTTTTGAGGAAAAACAACCCATAATATTTTATTTTTCATGAAAAATAAATTCTCCTCCTAAAAATGAGAGTCTTGACTTCGTCATCTACTTCTCACATCTCAAATTATCATAGAATCCGGGTCGTGTTTATTCGAGAAATATTTGAGAATGGTCACATGACCACAGGAAATTACTTCAATGATTTCTTCAATAAGATGATTGAGGAATCATTAAAGGCTAGATAATCCAAGATCATAAACCTTAAAACCAATCTTTTACCCTGACACAATGAAATCACGTGACAATTTAATAAATTATTTATTTTTAAATATAACCTTTTAAGTATAACAATAATGAATATATGGAGAAGCTCGGGAAAAAAAAACTTGGTTATAAATATATCACAGATAAGAAACAATAGATATTGAAATGATTGACGGCGGGGGCCTTTGAGCGGGGTTGTACAAATGTGGAGATTTCTTGTTAGTTTCAGAATCTATTTTATTTTAAATAAAAATTTTCCAATTCATTCATTCATTCAAAAAAATATCCTGATTAAAAAAAAAAATAGACAAAGAAAATTTAACAAAGAAAATAAAGAGTTGTTGTAGAAGATCCAAAAGAATTAAAAACTTCGAATGATGCAAGTACGACGAACTTAAAATTGATGTGTGATGATGTTGTGATATGATTACGAAATTATGATATCAAAACGATCGAAGACCGCAGCATTTAATCCGCAGAATCATGTAAACTTTTCTCTCCGATCCACGTCATTTCTCGAATAGGACTAAATGATTCGATAATGGCACATGAGAACTTCAATTTTCATATGCGTTTAATAGAAAAAAACCTTTTTATGAAATTTTTTTTTTTTTTATGATCATAATCGAAAAAAAAGGAACAGTATGATCAGAGGAAAAAAAAATCATTGTCACGCTGTCAAATTTTTAATGTGGGGTCATGTAGATTGGACAATTAACAGATTGAATTGAACAAGTGTGGAAGCATCATCGCCACTTTATCATGAAATGAAATAACAATAGTAATAATCCTTGTCCATTCAAGGGGAAATGCAATGCAATGAGTGAGAAAAAAAAGAGTGATGATTTACCGCAGTACAATGTAAGATAATGTAAATTACCGTGAATTTCAACATTTATCGTTGAATTACAAATTGAAATCTCTTTTTTTCCGCCATGAAAAAAAAAATTTTTTTTTCATTTCTTTTTTATTATGTGGAGAAACATGTAATAAAGATTTTCTGTTTATGCAGAATTTTTTTTTTTTTTTTATAAAAAAAACTTGTTTCCCTCCAAGAACAATCAAGTTATTAAAGTTTAAAACAAATAGAATTTTTGTCCCCTTTGTTCTCATATTCATGTAAATCATAGAGTACAACATCAAAATCCCTTGGGAATTTTACCCAGATCTTACCATACATTTATTAAGCATAAAATATATGTGGAAACACTTAACAGATTTATTTACAAGCCATCATAAACCAATTTGTGGGACCGTGCATATAAAGTCCATAAAAGAGGATTTTAACAAACAATCTGCCTAATTTGGTTCGAAATACCTATCCATTTGTTATTATTCTCCGAATGTAATTATGAAGAAGGAAACATTATTATCATTCTTATCGAGTTTTGGGGATTACAATTGATTAGGATCCTTAATAGCCATCAACGATCCCATGACTTACAAGGCTGAACGATTTATCCTATCCGGTTCCTTATAAATATGGTTAATCATATAGCCCATATGTTCAATTCTAATTAAACCTTTTATTATCGGACAAAAATGAGCTCTTATTACAAAAATGTTTACCCAGAACGTGTTTTCTGAATAAAAAGATTATTTGGCAAAGATCTTCACATAACAAAAAAAATATCCATATGCTTTGCCTTCAATCCAAAATTAAGATGATATTTTAGGAAGGACCCTTTTTATGTACAACATTATTTGCTAAAGTATTTAAAATTAAATGAATGGTCCGTGTTTCGCTTTCGCTTTTTCTTCACAGGTTGATTGGATTCCGAGAATAAATAAATATAGGGAGGATTAACAAATATTTCTCGAACCATATCGATATTGTTATTGATGAACAAAAAATCACAAAGGAACATTTTTCATTTATTATGTTTGATTTGGGGACGATCATTTTTTATACATTGTAGGTTGCAAGTCTATTTGTTTTTTTTTTTTTTTTTTTAAGAAACCATTCATGCCCTTGTAATTATTATAATCAAGACATATTCTCGTAACTATTATCCGAACCCCGAAAATCATGATATGACATCATTAATTTATTTGGTAATTAGATATACCTTGTTATGAAATGCATGTACGTATGGTATGGGATTATTGCTCTTTAAATGATATGCACAGCATAAATAAATATAGTCTAAATATAGGTTATCATAATATTAGTCTTAGTAATGCATAATTAATTTAACACTAACTAAATTAAATTAACTAATTTTATAATATTGCCTAGCATGTATATGCTATAATTGTATGGAGGCGAGATGCTTCATTTAAACGACCACGTTTCATACGATTCCGAAAAGCCAAGTTGTGTCGTGTTGACCCAACGTTATATGAAAACGATAATGATATTTATGTGCCAAATCAGCTTATTCATGATTTGTCATCATTTTCAAAATTAATTTGAACGCACACCACAATCGAATATATAAGAAAACCTATCATCTCGCATAACAATAAATTAGATATAACCAACAACCTTCAAAAAAGAACCTGTCAAAATATACAAACAAATTTCACCAATAAAGTTTATTCCCTTCCTAACTAGAAAACCTGTAGAAAATCAAAAACAATGTCTGCGGGGAAAAAATTCTAGACTCGTGCATACATACCCAATTATTAACAAAACAAATGGGTTTATAATTATATGATGCAGCCTGGTAAAAAAAGATGTGACAAATTACCTTACCCTGCATATAGATCTGGTTTGTTATTTTGAAAATCGCGCGGGAAATATTAAAAAAATTCAAAAGAGCTTCAAAAGGAATTAAATCTATTTTTTTTTTTTTTTTGACTGAACGCTTTTTTAGTAATATGATTAGAAAAAGACAATAGGAAACTTCAAAATATCAGGTTCTTTTAACACATCTTAAACGCTTTATGACAATCATCCTTCAGTAAGGAAATTCAAACGATATATTTCATCAAATCACGTTGAAATGACATTTGGATGAATCTTATATAGTTGGTTAGTAAATTTCCTATTCTTTGAAATTTCAGGTGAACTGATGTTCAACTCTCGCTCCTTGTTTGTATATGAGACATTGTGAACGTTTTCCCTGCTTTTTTCTTTACCTTATAAATAATGAAAACAATTAGAGTTTGGAAAGTTTTTTTTTTTTACTAGATCTCAATGTGGAAGCTCCTGATAAAATATTTTTTGTGCTTCATATTAATGGAAAAATTTTTATCATATTGTGTTTAAAAAAAGAAAATGAAAAAAAAAAATTTATTTCAAATAAATGGTGTGTACTTTTTTTGTGTAAATGGATGAGGTCATGTGTTAATCGTGATCTGTCAATCCTATGTTTAAGCGTTTTTTTTTTTGTGTCTTGTTAATCAGGGGGGGGTGGTTGATATAAAGAATAATCAAGGTTTACGGAGACTCCACAGATGAAAAAATTTTCTTTAGATGAAACAATTCGAACATCAATTCCAAAATTCTATGTAAATATTCACACCTATCTTTTCCCCAATTTAAAATTTTTTAATAATTTACTCGGAAAAGTTTTTTTTTTTTAAACCTAAATGTTCGGATGTTAATTTAAAAAATTTATCGATCTCGTAGTAAATAAATATTGGGATGAAAAAAAAAATTTTTTTTTCTCGTTTCAATTTTTACCACATGCATGCCATAAGGTATAACTCGAAACTTCTTTATTGAGTAAAGTTGTGGCTTAGGATATCAAGGTACAGATGTTAATATCAAACATATAAAGTAACTCAAAAGAATAAAGTGACTAAAGTGACTTGTTTTTTTTATCATGAAAGAAGCAAAAAATCGATCTATTAAACAAAGATTGGTTTAAAAAGTGGTAGGGATGGGCTGAATTTGGTGAAACCCATTTCATTGTAAGCAATAGTTACATGTAAATAGGACAATATGAATATTTCATGGTTGTACAATACACATTTTAATTATAGTAAGATTTCACAATCGAACACATCTTATCTGAGATCTAATCACACATATCACGTCAACGACGAAAATAAACAAACTCGCGATTTAAAAAATATTTCTCCGATTGATTTGGATTCTTTATGAAAAAGTTTTCTCTCTCGGTTTTATTTATAGGCCTTTCGCTTGAAATTATCGTGTTTAAATTTATTAAACTTTCATATGTACCGCATTCCAGGAAAAATTTATCATATAGAAATGACATTGTGATAAAACTTCGTAATTCGGGAATATCCACTCACATACATGATGTTAAGCATAAACCATTTAATGGAGCATTGTTCTAATCGTCGACGTAACGATCCATCAACTGTGTGCTCGTGAATGAATGCTAATAAAGCGTTTGAACGGTCTTACGATTCAAATTGTATTGTTTAAGGTCAAGAAAAGATGAATTGATTTTTTTTTTGATCTCACGATTTGAAACAGAGAACTGTAATCAGATGACGATGTATAAGAACAAAATAGGTTTAATAGGCATGTAGCATTGGTTAACATCTAAATTCGAATTTGTGGTCATGAGAAATAATTTTAAATAATAAATAACTTTGAAACTCGGGAATCTCTTATTTTAAGAACATTCAAATATATCCGGGATGTTTCGAACCAAACTTTCACAGAAAAAAAGGTTAATCTTTTACTAAATTAAAGAGTTTAAAACGCCAACTATTCTAAAGTTAGAAGGGAATACAAAACCATAACCCATATGCGACCGGTTCTTCCTGTCACTTTACGAATTTAAATGTTCATCGTGCAAGCGAATGAAATGTAAACGCATATTTGGAGATTTTTTTTTTTTTTTTTTTTTTTTTTTTTTAGGAAAATCTACAATTATAGTATGCCATTTAATTGTATTTTTTTTTTATCCACTTACAGCTTTTCCTTTATTCATTAATGATGAAACGAAACCTACATGTTCAAAAATTTTTTATTTATAAAACAGACAAGAGTCAAAAATAAACTTTCTATCATTATAAAATCTTCATTTTTGTTTAACCTAGTCAATATGCTTTAGGTTAAAATCTGTATATCGCCTCATTTAGTTAGGACGGTCACACAAAAAATTACTATTGTTCCAACTTTACGCTAATAAGTCTCCTGAAAAAAGAAATTACCACTTTTGGATTTAAAGTAGTTGTCAATTGTCAATTTTTCTATAATAATCTGATATTGTTGGTAAACCTTGTTGTTTAAAACGTTTAACAAAAGTTCGCTAATATTCTTTAAAAAGACCAAGATCGTCTTGAGGCATAAAATTAAAGCTAAAATCTTTAAACAGAAAAAAACCACCAAAGAATTTTTACATGCTCGTTTTCTTACACGAGATCCTATGTTGTTTTAAGACGTTAATAAGCGAAGCAATGCACTTCTTGTGTGTTTAACGAGATGCATTTAGAATATAAAGATCCAATTGCAAGCGATCGGAAAAAAAGACGAATTTTTTTTGAAGAGCATAAGGAAAAATAAAAATTTTCTTGTTTTAAAAAATTCATTATGTTTTATTTGATACAAAGAGAAGGAGAATGCGGGATATATATCAAAAAAAAAAACTTAAAAGGAACGAGAGACAAACCCACCTTTGTTTGAAATCGGTACATTTTCTTCACTGACTTGTTAAGAAATTTTTTTTGTTTTAAATTTAATTTTATCAATTTTATCAATCCATATCAGCAAAAGAATGTCTTTTCTCGTACATTTATTCTCTTGCCTTTTTTCTCTGCTCCATTTATCGCTCATTTTGTTCGGATGTTCTCCCGCAGCCACATTTACATGCATTAAATTCATCTTATTACCTTTATAAAAAACTATTAACTTCAAGTTCCCTGTCATTTTTTGAACAAAAAAGGGATTATCAAATATAGTCTACAAATTACAGATATGTATTAAATATGTATCGAAAATTTTTACGTTTCGGTTTTTTATTATGCTGTCGAAAAGATTATATAAAGTTTTACTTTCTTTGTCTCACTCACATTGTGCATTTTTTTTATAAAAAAACAAAAACAAAAACAAAAAAGAACCTTCATATTCTTCTATTAAAGAGGGAATTTTCTTTTCAACCTTTGTTATTGTTTCGCACAATTTAAAATTTGCGTGCCTGCGCCACACAACCTTACAGCGTGTTAATAAAATAAAGAAAGCGTGCGGTGCCACATATTAAATTATTGATGTTGTATCTTATTTCAATGGTAACGGTCATGAGAAATAATGTCAGTAGGGAAATGTGGCAGCTGGCGTAATTATTTGGTAAATAGAAAGGCATTGCTAAAAACATAATGATAAATTAATTAATGTCTCACACGTAAGGATTTCTTTGACGAATAGAAATGCAACTTGGTATTTGATACATCAATAAATGATCCCAAAAATTTCACTTTTCTACGATCCTCGGACGAACAGAAGTGGTTCGGGACTAATATTGTCACGAAACGTATAATAAGTATAGTTCTTTTAACATTTACAACCATAATAATCATAATTAATATTATGAATCTATCAAACCCGTTTTGAATCTATTTTCATACCTTTTTTTTTCCCTTAAGATTAATGATAAACAATTAATTTATATTATTTATATTTTGCATCCTACACATTGTTATTAATGTTATTAATGTAATTTGTAATATCACGTTTTTTATTATGACACTATAAAATCTATAGACATAATCATAATAGCTGGAACGAATAGACCATTATTAGATTTTTGTTAATGATACAACAATGTGGCCGAATTTATACCTAACTATATAATAATAATAATCATATTAGATAATATTCGTTTATTTTATTTTATTTTTTTTTTATTACTGTCTTAAAATTATATATTATGCGTTTAACTCGATTGGTTACTTTATTCCTATATGTATCACATCATATTTTACAAAAAAAAAAAAAAAAGCGCGCTTTTTCGTTATACAACATTTCCTAATTTTACTGACATCGATATCATTGGGTGGACATATTTATGATATTAATCAATATGAATCATTTTTACTAAATTTATTTAAATAAAACACTGAAGATCGACAATTATATACTCAAGTATATTATACTGTACCATTTTAAATATTGAACTATATATTATATATATATAAAAAAAAATTCAATATATAATATAATAAAGTATTCAATATAAAATAATTTTTTATCATTCCATGATTTTATAAAAAGCCCCAATCTGTGGTAAATTTGCCAGAACAAAAAAAAAAAAAAAGGTTTTTTTTCGTTAAAAAAAAAAAAATATTTTAAATTTTTTATACACACACTAAATAACAATAATCCTCATATTATTTTTCATTAAACAATAAAAATGTCGTTATTAAAAAATTCATTTTGCCGTTCACAACGGAAGAATCAAATTTTGACCCATCAAGAACAACCACATACAACCCAAGAAGCAAAAACTAAAAAATCCTTTCATATTCCATTCTTCAACAACACCTCAAAGACTGCTCCAGCAAAGGATTCCACCCTTCAAGCTTCTTCACACAGGAAGAGCAGCGTTAACATGCGACGACAAAATATAGTTCATCGCACAGATTGCCGACGAAATACAATTTGGTCAGACACAGTTGAAGGCGAACTTGTTGCCAACTTGTCACCAAGAGAATTAAATCGTCAGGAGGTACTTTTTGAAATCATTAAAACTGAATCTGAGTAAGTATTTTTTTTTTTTTCTTTAATATCGTGTGATTTCATGTGATAAAAAAAGTCACATCGTAACACTCCAAGTCACATGATTAACAGATGATTCTCCCCTTTCCCTTTCTAGATATGTTCGCGATTTACGCTTGGTCGAAGAACTCTTTATCAACCCCATCAAGGAAGCCGAAAAGAAACATCGCAAACAGATAGTTCCAGAAAACTTAAATAAAGTTTTCAATTCCATTTCATACTTTTTATTCATTCATGAAGTAATCAACAGTTGTCTAAGCGAACGTCAAGAATCTCAATTCCCATTGGTTCGAAGCATATCCGACATCCTTTTGCCTTACGTGTGGGTGTTCCGTTCTTATGCACCATACCTCATTCATTACGAGGATGCTTTAAGAGAACTCGATGAATGTATTCGAAAGAAGGACAAATTGGGCAAGCTCGTCAGGAAACAACAAAAACAAACCCAGTGCCGAAACATGCCCTTGACCACATACCTCCTCAAACCATTCCAACGTCTTCTCAAATACCCACTTCTTATTACAAATTTGCTCAAGTGCACAGATAAGGATAGTTTTGATTTTAATAAGACCGTCTCACTAAAGAGCAAGCTCGATGAGGTACTCTCAAACGTCGAAGAGCAAAAGCGATCTCATGATAACATGGAACGCCTTCGAGAACTCGAAACAAGAATTCATGGGCTCGGTAGTTTCCGCTTGGCCATTAATAATCGTCAACTTCTCCGAGAAGTTCCGGCATGTCAAAATTTATCTGAGCTCAAGAAGCAGCCATCCTTCCGAAAATCACTGACAGTAACGTCAGCGCCCATGTCAAGTTCAAAACGTCATTCGGTACGAAATCTTTACGCTCTCGAGTGTAATGATATCGTTCTTTTGGCGGAAAGAACTGGCATCACAAAGGAGGGTCAGCCCTTGTACAAGTTGGTCTCTCGTCCACCTGTCGTTGATGACGAACCTGTCATGGTTGAAAAACCAGAGGATTCCGACATTTATTTTGAATAAATGATATTTAATGCATAATTGGAATGATTTCGTCCTCGCCGTCATCAAAAAACAAAAAACAAAAACAAAATATTTGAAACCCCCTTCAGGCAGGACTTGACGTTCATGGACACTAATTCACATATAAATACTTCTCATATCTATATATATATTATCAACTTTTTTTTTGTATTCAAATAGACTTTAGTATTCTTAGATTATAATCTTCAAGCGGATTTTTTTTTGAAAGGACCGCGCTGAAGCTGTAAATTTTTAATATCTTTTTTCCAAAAAAAAAAAAAAAAAAAAATCAATTTCAACATATAATATATATATAAATATATATTATACCAATCGCATAATGATCGTTCCACGATCTTTCACAATTCAACGAAATACGTGGATATATATTCATATATCTCTACATTCGCAAATCAAACACAACTTCTCAAACGATGATTCGACATCGTTCGGCTCTTCACTTCATTCTCGTATCATCAATAATTGGCAAATTGGCAACGAACTACATCGCAAAGAGACGAAGTTAAGGAAATAATTATGAATCCTGTAACCGGGATAAGAATTATGGACTTAATATCGAAACTTCGTTTTTCTTTATTTATGCTAATATCAACAAACAACTTCTAAGATTCATATCAATTTAAGATTTTTAAATTTTTTATGTAAATAATTAAGTGGCAAATTTCTGGCAAAATCTGAATATGACAAACAAAAAAAAAAATTAAGATTTGTTTCTTTCATTTCCGTTTTTTTATGCAATCATTTTCCCTTAAATTTCGTTCTCTGTCGAGTGTTTATTTACACGTTCTTGTAGTTCTTAATCATTTAGTTCATTTTTTAACGATCATAGATTTGCAAAGAGAAAAATAATGTTTCATGAAACATGTTCGAGTCATTTTTTCGAGAAAATTAGATCATATTATTTTAATAGTTGTGAATTCGGTCCTTTATGCGACCCGGCTTTCTTGTGGTGGTTTCTTTATTTTTGCCACTTGAAATAGATTTTTTTTTTCCATTTTTTTACGTTTGGGATGATCATAGAAAAAAGAAAATGCCCTTTGTTCTTTTTTTTTGTTCACCTACACTTCGGATTTCATCCAAAGTAAATAGCTAGTTTCTTTCACTTTTTTTTTTCTTTATCACATTTACATTATATATATCCATCATATATCTTACATTATTTTATCATTTTCTCAATTAGCTAATTACTTTTGTAAAAATTATCAAAAAAAAAAATCATTAAAAGTATTAATAGAAAACAAAAATGATCTTTCTGTGAAGGTCATCGTTCTAAAACCAAAAAAAAATTGTCTGTCTCCTCTTTACAAAATTATTTTCCGGTGTATAAAAAAAATTTGTGGTTTAACACATTGTGTTCTTTTTTGCTTCGCCATAGACTTGCAGTTACCATTATGGGAATCTGATTCAGATGAATAGAAATACAAATTCCGATTTTATAAAATTAAGCTTTTGCAATCATTTAACTATTAACGGTAAGGTGATTTTTTAATTTTACTCCCTTTTATCAATAATACATGCGCCAAAGGTCTAAACTTTCATCATAGTAAATGCACAACTAAGACTAAAAAAAAGTTCCATCTCACAATAAGCCTGAACAAACGTATTTTACTTAAAATTAACATCCTAAAACAATTGTAATCTAAATTAGGAAAAATAAAAAAAAATAATACGAAAAGGTCTGATCTTTTTGTTTTTGACTTGGAAATAAAGGTGCTTGTTCTTCAATACATCTTTTGCCTCGGACCGATAAGAGCGGGAACACAATTTTCGACAAACACGGGTAGTGCAAAAGCTTATACCCATGAACAATGAAAAAAAAAAGAAGGTTGACAAGTTAAAACAATTATAAAATAAAGGTGCAATTGTAGAGCGTGACACTTGCTCCAAAAAGGTTAAATAAACAATTTTCCTAATTAGTTTAACAAGGTTGTAATATTTTATCTTTAACATGACATGTTCTTTATTTTTTTTATTCTTTGATGTGGTAAAATCAAGGAAAAATCGGGAAATTACTATCTTAAACACACAAACACAAATATTGAACCTCATGACCAAGGAATTTTCCGAATTTACCGAAGTTATTTGTTTACAAATTATAATGTGTAAACGTTCTAAAGTTGGTCATTTGGGTAACATCTTTTAGCATTATATTTGTCACAAGTCATTTGGAGAGGAGGTGCGTGATCTAAATAATGGAAACATGTTTTTAATCTGGACTGATTGGAATATATTTTTTTTAAGTTGTCCACTGATAGTGGGGGTCACAAACCTCTTTTTTGGGGGGAATACGCAGTGGTTTGTTTTGCTCCCCTGGGGTAACAAATTATTATGTTGTCATAAATAAACAAAATTTTTTTTCTTCCAGTTGTCGACCACAATCATTTTATTTGACCAGGGATGAACTAGTTAAAGGAACAAATGTTGGGGATGTGACAAATTTTAAAATGGTCGAATTGATATTGGGCGTATTTTCTTCCTCTAGACAATCAAAAAAAAAACAAAACAAAAAAAAACATATATATGTATATATATATATATATATAAAAAAACATTCAATTTGTTTACCCAAAGATAATCGTGCATTAGAACACAAGGTACTTTAAAAAGCTTATCTTTGTTTATTTTTGACGTACTTGCCAACGCGAAACCTTCATTTCAAATAATTCTTTCTATATTGAGATAGATAAATTACATTGGATCGAGATATCAATCATTATTGGGCGAATAAACGAATAAAAAAAAAATTTTTTTTTACATGAAAAAAAAAAACTTGATTATATACAGGTTATAACATAAGCTTAATCTGAACGAAATAATTGCCAATTATGGTATTTCATGTAGGAATCACTTTCTTTTAACCTAAAAAGCCTTTTGTTCCCCATCTCCCTTGGCTGCAATGTCAAGATCTATGTCAAAGATGCAAAGGAAAAAAAAAAAAAAGTCATCTTGACTTTTTTGTATCAAATCAGGTTATCAGTTATTTTTTGGGCTTTTTTTGGCTTTTTCCTGCAAAGAACTGTAAAAAGCACAGGTATGTCTGTTGTTCACCATAAACAATGTAACTATATTGTTCAAACTTTTTTTTTTAATCATTGACAAAAGAAACAAAAACCGCCCATACAAATAATTACAAGTTAAAATACCTGAATTTTAGGTTTCTCCAATATAAAAAAAAAATTTTTTTTTTTTATTTTTTTTTTTTAAATATTAAATAAATCTGATAAAAATCATAATAATAATAAATGACAGATCGGTTGACATTTTTTGGGGGAGAACTCGGACCATGCAAAGAGAAAAACAATTAAAGAAAACATTCGAATTTAATTTCCTTAACTATTTTTTCTTCTTAAATTCCTAAATTCTTCCTCTAGTCTTAAAGCTAACATTTATTAAGGATTTGTAAAATGGTAAACAATACTAAATAAACTAGTATATATACAAGGATTTACCATAGAAACGAGTATCGAATTCTCTTGAGAAAAAAAAACCTTAAAATTTTAGCAAAGCCACAACTTATCGTGTCGTGACAGAATGTGGTAATACTTGGTTAATGATATCGCATATAAACAAAAAAAAATATATATGATGAAAAATTGAGTAAAACGCCATTAGAATTTTTAAAAGAGGATTAATTTTCCACGAGTATACCACGTTTTTCTTTTTCTTGCATATTTGTTTGTCATACCATGAAGAAAATTTCCAAAGGACATGAGTTCTATTTAATTCGTTAAAACCCAATTTTGAATCTAATCCTCAAATATAAATTTTTGTTTTCCGAAATATATTAATTTTCCCAAATCGTAAAAATTGTGTAATAAAAAATATATCAACTCCAAAAATAAATGATTTTAATTATTAATTCTGGCCAAAATATGAGATTTTGCGAATAGCGTGAGAAATGGGACTTGCCTTGTTAAAACGATAGACTTGTATGAGATTGCCCGGCGCAAAAAAAAAATAATAAATTCTTTAATTAAAATTCTATTTTTAACAGAAAATTTCACTTTTAAAGTAAGTATCCTCCACACTTTGTTCTATTTTTTACTTTCAATTATCAGCCACATTAGGCTATCTTTGACAATTTTTTTTACATCATTTTATACATATCAATATATTTTATTTATTTTTATAATAATTTTTATCCATTCCTATTATGCATTTGTGAGAGTTTACAATTAATTATAATTAAATAATTAAATAACAAAAAAATATTACCATCAATTAAATACCATCATATTTTCGTTTAGGTCCCTCTGGAGCTTTATACTCGACAGATTTTGCTTTGAAATTTGCCTTCGCATAACTTTCAATGTTAGAATAATTGAACACAATTTTTTGGGATAATTATTCTTGACAGCATTCATATCTGAAGTGCGGTCATGACAAACGTTGAGAATTTCTCGCATGTGTAATTTCCCGATGGGGTCAACTTCCTCAACGACTGATGAAGACTCCTTCTTTCATACAGGACTTAGGCCACCCATCCTTAGCTGTCTCGTATTTTTCTTGGTAGACCTTTGGTTTCCCATTTTCTGGATATACATTTATCTCCTAAAAGATCAAGACACTGAATACGAGTATTATAAAAATCTAAATTTCTTTTTTACTATCAATAATAAATGTACAACATTGTCTTCTTTCCATTTATATACTTTGAATCGCACCGTCTTCGAAGTGAGAAATACGCACGATAATGAGGGTTATCATCCTCAGCATCCAACTTAAAGGCCACAACGTATTTTTCTATTACATTGGGTGAAAAATAGGTTCTACATTGAGCAAGAACCTCGTCACAGGACGAGATCAAACATTGTGGCCACATGCGACGTTTTTAGTAGTTAATCGATCGATTTTGTGGCATTTTTTATTTTTTTTTAAATTTAATAATTTAATAAAATTTTGATCGGATTACATCCATATCGATATCGATATTGTATATATAAAAATGTATCGTGATATAAAGCATGACTTTGATTACAGCTTTTATAACAATCACGTTATGATTGATGCATTCGGCCAATCATATTCGAGTATGTTGTCCGGTACGGTATGATTAAACATCATGTCAAAGTAATTCCAAACAAGAATTATAAATAAATAACAGATATCTCATCTCATATACAATAAACTTATTAATGACCTAGAATTAGAGAATCTGATGAATTTTCTTTTCTTGGGAGTAACGAATATATATATGGGTTGGGTTGAAAGAATGAATTAAACACGTGAAACTAATTATTAATCTTCGATGGCCTTTAAAAAGCGGTTTCATTTAAAATTTGTTAAAAAAAATATTTTCTTTTTTTGGCGGATCAATGGCAGGTTTTGAATGTTTGTATAAAATTCCAATGACTAGAAAAAGGTTTGACAAAATTTTATCCATGAAAATAAAAGTTAAAGATTACTCCAATGTAACCTGATTTTAATAGCATTGGGCCGGTTTAAATTTTAATTTAATTGAAAAATTTAAGTTAGTCCATTTTAACCATCTTTTTTTGGCTGGTAAAAAAAAAAAAAAAAAAAAGACGCGGCAAGAATTTGGTCTTAAATTTTTTTTTTTAATAATATTATTATATATAAATTTAATTATAATTAATTATTAATTATATTTTTAGTAATGATAGAATTTAATTATTATTTTTTTTTATAGTCTTTATTTAATAAAAAAAATTTTTTTTTGCAACGTATTCACGGGACAATACATGGAATAAATGGATACTTTGGACATTGAAAATATATGCGACTACAAAGCCTTCCTCAAGATTATAAATATTATTTTTTACAATGAAATAAAGGTAAGTGTCAAATGTTATGCGTGATTATAAAGAAATTAGATTTGTTTTGCTTTCATTATCGTTATTAATTAGATTGATTTTCTCTTTGTTGGATCAATTTCCATATTTTTTTATACAAAGTAATATGAAATAAGTGTAATTCGTTAACCTTTGTAATATATCAATAATAACTTGAGGACTTTGATGGATTAAGTAAATTGTTAAGTAAGTAATGGAATTTGAAAGATATTCATTAGACTCACAACACCGAGTGAGGTTTCTTCTACAAGTAAATTATATATAAAAAGATTCGTCTACAATATTCTTTCTTGTCCGTGTCCGTAATTCGGATTAATAAAATGTACGCCAGCTTGGGTAAAACCCCAGATATTTAACATTCGATGTTTTAGTTGTCGTATATAATGAAATAATACAATCTCTATGCATATAGGAAAGGATTTGCAAGTTATCACCTGAATTTCAACAAATTCGCAAAAGCTTGCATTGTAATTTATATAAATATTTGTTAAATATAGACCGTTACTACATACCGCTTTAACCTTCTATGATCATATTTTTTGATCGTGATATTGATCATATCCAATCAAAATATCTATATTAAACAAATATTTTTACGACAATGAGAACAATGATTATCATGGAGATCAAACTTTATTGATGATTGAAATGCATTGTTTGCATGATAAGAATTTACCAGGTAAGAAAAAAAGATATATTTTCAATAACCTCTTTTTTGGAGGTTTCAAATAAGGGGGGTAACAAATTTTTTAAGCAGAAATGATATGTCATATCACATGGAAACCGACGATTTCCATGTCTCAACAATTTTCGTTGGACATTATAAAAAGTAATAACATATGCTTATTTGAATGGGATCTCTGAAAATCACAAAAACCTCGAAATAAGATTAATGTTGACGGCGTTATAAACAATAATTATATAGTAAAGTAACTCGAAACATAAAATTCAGAAATTTCGTCTCTCAAGCACAACATTACTTGTATAACATCGACTCCAGGTTCATTATTAAAAAGCAAATTGGCTTTTTTTTTTTCTAAATTGGAGGAATGATCGACAATGTAACAGATGTTCGATTCCGGATCTTTTTATAATAATTGGTCACAACATATCAGATTTCGCTTATTTAAACAATGATTTGACCATAAATGTTCATAATCCCTTCTTTTTTTTTTTTCATTTTTTGAAAAAAATTAAATACAATATGACAACGACGAAAAAATTAAAACATCGTAACCTTCCATCATTACCTTCGGAAACAATTGACGATATATTTAAACATATACATGATCAATCCACTTTACATTCATGTTTATTCGTTAATAGGGCTTGGTGTAGGAAAATCGTACCAATTTTATGGGCTAGACCTAGACCCCTTGTCTATAAGGAACGTTCGTCAAAAAGTCTGATAGAAACTTATGTATCATGTTTTGATGATGAAGAAAAATCAATATTATTTTCAGAAGAATTATCCAATATGAAAGATTTAGAATTAAAAGGTCCATATTTTGATTATTCTGCTTTCTTGAAGGAATTAAATTACCCTTTAATTCGTATGGCGGTTAGGAGATGTTATAGAAATTTAGGTAGTAAAGAATTTAGTAGAAAAATTAAACCAAGTAAACCTGATTTAAATCCAAATCGTCAGGTTACGATAATGAAGGCACTTTGTAAATTATTTGTCAGGACTTCTCATTTGGATACCTTGGTATTGGACTCTTTGGATGATCTTCCAGGTGTGGGGTTATTTACAAAAGGTCAACCTTACTTCACTAATTTAAACAAATTAATCATTCATTGGACAAATACCGCTGCGAATATATCGAGCCTCGTTAAAAGGTTGCCTCTAATCTGTACCGGGATACGTCACTTGGTTGTTGAGTTTGGAATCAATGATGAAACTGAAGCTGATAATTTGGCTTCTATAATTAGAGCTCAACAAAGTATAACTACTTTTGAACTTACCGGAACTCATAATCGTGTATTGCCAATCTTATCTGCAATAGAGGAAACTCAAACCGAATCGCTCACTTCTGTAAAATTTTCAAGAGTGGATTATCAGTGGAAATCTCTAGACATTCTCGGAAAATGTTCAAAGTTGAGATCACTTGATATGATATCAGAATGCCCAACTTCGGAGGGTTATATCTCTGATGAACCAACAACTGTTGCAAAAGGGTCTTCTTTTAATCTTCGTTCACTGAAATTATTGAAACAATCCCCAAAATTATCTGCTCAAGTAATTAGGATGGGTGGGATTTCTTTAAAGAATTTATGGTTAAATACTGTAACTTCTGAGATAGTCAGTTCGATATTAAGATCGGGAACTCGTATCACTCACCTTTATTTAGATATATCGGAAACATCTCAATTAGATTTCTCACAACACTTGAAAATGATTGGAGGGTTACGGTTAAATTATCTACAACTTTCTTCTATAACTCCAAATGATATCAATAATCTTTTAACGTCCATCACAACGACCTTACCAAGTACTTTATATCATTTGGACCTAGAACAAGAATTTTCCTTACGTTATGTGGGATCATTCTTGAATGATTGCAAAGTTCCTTTTGAAGAATTGACTTTATTTCCTAATACTGCTATTGATACTAGTTATCTTACAGAAATCGTTGGTTACGCAAAGAATAAATCATCTTTGAAATTTTTACATCTTAATTTATCTTGGGAGTCCGGTTTGGTAAATGGAAGATTTACAAGGGCAATGACAAAAGAATTACAAAAGAATATTTTCACTGTTGATCTAGAAAAATTAAGGGGCGAAGTACAATGAGGAACGGATGTGAGGGGTACTTGGTGCATTGGCTACCAAAGTTTAATGTGTGATGTATGTAAATATATATATTTTTTGTAACATATTTTTAAAAGAAAAAAAAATTTTTTTTTTGAGACCCTCCTCCCCCCATTGTGATTTTATTTATTTATTATTTTATTTATTTCGTTTTTTGAAATTTTATTTAGAAAAATTTGTTTATAGGTTTTATATTTCTTCATGTACATATTTTGAAATGAATAAGTAAAAAAAAAGTTATTATAAATTTTGAATTTTGATGGTGTGGTGTGCAATTGGAACTTCCATGTGGAATAAAATATTGGGTTCTCCATTTTTCTCTAATTTACTGATAAATTCACTTAAATTTATATATACATATATATATTTTAAAAAAGTATTCTCAAATTATCAAAACATAACAAGTTTATATATACAAGAATAATAAGAATCAGATTGCTTTTAATATTTTTGTAACGATTTTTTAAATCAGAATAATTTGAAGAGTAAATTAAAAATTTTTTTAAAAAAAAAAATAATAAATCGTCGTCGTCTACATCATTACCCTTGATCAAAATGTCAACATCACATATTCAAGTACCAATATGTACGAAGTGAGTCAAGTTTCTCAAGAATCTTTTACTTCTTAAAATAGGTACTCTCCCACCTTCACCATTAACATTTTAATGTGTATACATTTCTAAGCCAATTCATTAGGATTAGATACAATTGTCCTTGCTTGATCGACATCGACAACAACGCGTTTTAAAAAATTCAAATGTCCCAAGCAAATTCTTAGGATTAGCATTATAAGTACTTTCCCGAGGAACAAACGATTCGAACTTTATATGAACGGGATGACCCTAGCGTTATCGTCCTGGTAATAAGACTTCAAGTTGATTAGATTTGCTCCTCAAACACCGTGGCCTTTTACAATTTTTCTCAAATGATAACATCCCGTTTAAAAATACCTCTAATATAGCATTTGCTCTAGCATTACATTTTGATGTGTAAAACAAGCGTCATTTATAATGGTGTTGAACAAATAAGAATGTCTTTTTATAAAAATCGAAAGAGGCGTTAAATTCCAGAAATATGGGCGGTTTTACAATAGAAGTTCATAAAAGGTCAAAAAATTTTTTTACCTGGCACGAAAAATGCATTTGTTTTGCTAATTATTGAAAAGTTACATCCAACATAAGGAATATCAGTAAAAAGTAAGATCTTAATAACCAATAAAATTGAGAATTATACTGCGGATTATTATGTTAAATTACCAACATATATATATAGTAGGCCAACATTTACCCCTTTGGACAATTAATTAACATTTTTATTAATTTAAACTTGGATAAGATCTATAGTAATATTTCTATACATTATATTTATATATATATATATATAATCAATCTAGCTATTTATTATTATTATTTTTAAAAAATCCATTCCATAATCCGCCTAAATATTGCCAAGCACCCTTTTTTTCAAGGCTAGGTTTATCATTTGGCCATAGTGTTGGAAGTGGTTTATTCGTTAATCGACAATAAATGTATTTTAAAGCATGAATAAATTCTTTAAATAAATCAATTGGTATTAAAGAATCTTTCATCGCTTGTAATATCGGAGTGGGTTGTTTCCTTGAATTTGGTCTATAATCTTTATATCGAAATGCCTTCATTTGAATTAAGGATAATATTAAGAACTCCACTGATACTAAAACTGCTTGGATTCCTGTTGAAATATCATGTGCCGTCCTAATAATATATATAAGAGGTTTGTTATTAAAAGATTTTTTTTTTTTAGGTCAAAAGTTCAGAAAAATGGATTATCGAATTGTTAATTCACCAGTATTTCGTTTCCTTTATAAATCCCAATAAAATAAATAATCCTAACGTGGCTCCTATAATTAAAATAATGCTTAAACAGGTGATACCTTTTTTTAAAAAAAAAAATAAAAAATAAAAAGAAGGATTGTTTCTTTGATTACCTTGATATGTAACCAAAAAAAATGCCTAAGATAAAAGCAATTTATTAAATTTAATATGATCAAATAATTTTATAAAATTACGATTGAATACCCACCACGTTAACACAGATATTTCTTAGAAACCAAGGATAATCATCTTTTAAAACTTTTCGAGCTGGTTTAAATAACATGTTCTTATGTAAATCAAAATCATTAAATTAGTTTCAACAAATCCTCTTGAAAAAAAAAAAATTTTTTTTCAAAATCAATTGATTCATCAATTCAATTACCATGCAAATATCAGCAACAAGTCCTGATAAACTTTGTATGGCAATTAGATAAATTTTAGGAAATTTCAAAGAAAAGGATTCATTACAATATTTTCCAAACACTTGTAATATAAACGTAACCATTGTAATGGTGCAAACGATAAATACGTATTGTAAGATGCCAAATCTAAACCTTTTCAATAAATTTCGATGTTCGATTGGATTATAGGTCAAACAAAAAAATGGTAATGGCACTCTAATAGATTTGATTTTTGCTGATCTTAATTTACTCAATCGTTCATCATCATTTTTACCTAAACTATGCAATAATAAATTAAAAAAATTTATTATAGCATAAGCTTGATATCCATCTCTTATAGTTATAAAAAATAATGAATATCGATATCGAACGAAAATATATGCTAGCCAATTTAATATTGTATAGATTGGTACTATTAAAAGCAATCGTATTATATATCTTTGTTCATCTGGCTGAATAATAATAAAATAATCATGAATTCGAAAAATCAAAAATGAATCGATTTGATGACGTAATAACAATTTTTTTAAAACCCACTTTTGTATAATATTTCCAATGTTGTTTTATGAGGTATAATGTAACAACCGAAGCTAGGATTGTGAATATTAAAGAAACCAGCCAACCGACAACATGAACTAAAATCAAAAAAAAAAATTTTTTTTTTCTCAAAAAAAGGGTTGAATCCTATATAATATATATAACCTGAACGACCTTGGGTACTTACGAGGAACCGACTTTCCATTTACATCAATAAATTTAAGATATTCAGGATCATTATCTTTATATACAATGGGACATGTTTCAGTGAATAATACACCAAATGGCATTCCTCTTAATTAGATGATGGTGATATATATGATGAGAAAAAAATATATACAAAAAAATGTAAGAATCTGAAGTTCGAAGTTAAAACCACAGAAAATCATTATATAGAGCGAGGATGAAAGGATTCTATCTATACCATATTTGGTTTACAAATTATTTTTATTCTTTTATAGTAATGATGTAATATCGATATTTAGAATGTTGATGACTTCAATTAACATCACAGATATTTTTAAATGTTTTAATCCACATGTTACTTAAAAAAAATTCTGTTGCGTAAAGGTATTTTGAACCTTATGAATGAATCCAAATATGCTTATTCCATTATTTAGGAACAATAATGAAAAGGGACTGGGCACCACCACCTTCGATTAAACAAGGAAGTCATTAAATATTGAAATTTTTTGTCCTTTGTTTCCTCTCGTGCATTCACTTATTATTAATTATAATAACTATATTAGCTTAGATTTAAAAATCTTTTGTATAAACCCAAAACAATGAGGAAAGGCATAAATAGTTTCGTTTTGTGAAATTAAAATAGTCATGTCACAAAGTTATTTAAGGGACAAGTCTATATGAAGGCTTATAGCTATTGTATTTACGAATATGGTTGCAAAAAAAGTGAAACTCAATGCATCAAAAGTCTATAATGCAGGTTATAAATGTATCAAAAAAGGTATGATAATATATCAAAAAAAAAACGGATCAATCATGTGATTTGGTTTCAAAATTTTTATTTTTTTCAACCTTACTTTTTTTTTAAAAAAATTCTTCATTTCTTCTTGTCAATAGCTACGAGCGACCACGTATACGTGATTTATTTATTGGTAAAACCACAGCCGGCCATTTTGAGACTATTTTTTATAAAATAACTAATTTATTATGCTGTGCTGCGCCATTTAAAGTTTAATTATAATGCGATATAATGGTTTTTACTTTTATAATTATTTTATTATATTATAATACGTTATTTACATAAATATATTTTTTAACCAGTACAAATACGAAAGTATAAAATATAATAGAAGGCAAGAATATTGGAGAAAATATAATTGTCCCGAATTTCAGAATTTTGCATTGTATATAAAGTCGCAAAATAATAAATACTTGATGCCGTTAAAAACAATTCAAAAAGTAGTCTTTCAAAACGGGTATTAATTTTTCAGGATGACTTTGTAGAAAAATAATTTGTAATCTTTTCAGATTCTTTAACATTATCAACTTTCTTCTTCCTAGGTGTTTGTCTCTTTGATGGTCCAGATTGTAATGATTTTTTAGGCGTCCTATTAGATTTTGATGGTGTAGATCTTAATGATTTTTTAGGTATACTTGGAGGTGTTGATGGTGAAGATTCTTTTTTAGGATCAGGTGATGATGGAATATCAAATTCATCCTCTTGAACTTTGTTGGACTTTTTATCAAAAGATGTTTCATCATCAGATGTATTAAAAGAACGTTTTGCAGGAACAACTTTTTTATCATCTTCATTTGGTTCCATTTTTGTTTTCTCATCTGTGACATCTTGTTTCTTTTGGAAAAAATCGATAACTGATTTTTTCGAATCGAGGGGAAGAATCAAATCAGGAGAATTATTTTTAACATGTCCAACATCATCAGAGACCGGGTAACTAAATATTAAAAGAAAAGAATTGAAATTTTCTGATAATAAGATCGATTATATATAAATGGTCACTTACATCTCTAGTTCGCCTGCGAATGGTTTTAGAAGCCTGGCTAATTCAGGATTCCAAGGTGTTCGTGGATCTAACCATGTAGCCAATTCTTCTGATCCATTCTCTAAAATTACTGGCATTCTATCATGTAAAAATTCGATCGAAGTTGAAGACATCGTAGTAATGATAGTATAAGTATAGAGAGGATTCTCTTCATCTATTATAATATATATATAAATATTGATATTGATATGATTTATTTGGTCATAATGAAAATTACAAAATATCGTACCTTCAAACTTTACACAATCATATAATCCGGCAAATAAGAACAAATTTCCATCTTTCCTTTTGATGTAATATGGATGCCTTTTTTTGTCTTTTTTTAACCATTCATAAAATCTAGTATCAATTAATCAAATTAATCTAAATTATTTTTAAAATTCATATTTACTTAGTTTTATATAACATCATACCCATCAGCAACCACCAGACAACGTTTTCTATTCTTCATAGAATTAAAAATGCTCTTTCCTTCCTTTAATGAATCATCACGGCAATTGATGATCAATTTGGAAAACTCGGGTTTTTCCTTTGTCCACGAGGGAATTAATCCCCATCTCTAAATTATTAAATAATAAATTATTGTTTTCAAATAAATGAAAATTAAAAAAAAAGGTACTGATAAGAATTATCTAATACCATAGTATGAAGTATTGTCTCACGCGAATCATATTCAACCCGAACAACCGGTTGAAAATGACAAGGTGCAACATTATATCTATTTAAATGAAAATATTTCAAATTGAAATTTTGAAAAAAAGTTTTTTCTCTTTTTTTTAGCTTATTCTGACATTATTACCGACAAGAGTACCTCTTTGAATTCCATATTTATTAATTAAATACCCAAAAGTCAAAAAATTATAAGTCAAAGTAATAATATACTTACGAGGTTTGGTACTTTTCTTTATCAATCCATTTAGTACATTTTATATTTGATCTCTCGAGGGCTTGCTCCAAAGATTCTAGCCTCTATAATTTGAGGATAATTAAAATTTCCAAAAAAACTAAATTAAATGAATAAACCCTATATTTACCGAGTATACGACATATCTTCCGCACATTTTTGTAGGAAAATTATTATTTAAATATCGCGCATTTTTTTTAAACGAACCAGAGCATTTAATAAAACTTTGGTTCGTTTTATTTCTAATCATGTGATTGTACCACCGTACTGCCATTTAGATGAAACGTCTATTTTCTTTCGTTTCGTTCGTTTCTAACTTTTTTATTATGTTATTATCTAATTTTATTGGCGGAAAATTTGCTTCATTTAAAGAAGAAACTTTCATTGACAGCTATAATCCCTCGACAGGGAAAGTTTATGCACAAATTCCAAATTCTTCAGAGTACGAAATTAATTTAGCAGTTGAAGCGGCCCATAAAGCGTTTCAAACATGGTCGAAAACATCACGCTCAACCAGAGCTCAAATCATTTATAAAATTGCTGACATACTTGAATCAAAATTGGATGAATTCGCAAAGGCAGAATCAATAGACCAAGGAAAAACCTTGGAATTTGCAAAGAATGTTGACATTCCAAGGTCTATTTATAACTTTAGATATTTTGCCGGTCATATCCTACATACTGAAGAAAAATCTACTGTTATGGATAATATAGCTTTGAATTATATTCAAAGATCTCCTTTAGGTGTCGCTGGACTAATCTCTCCAGTAGGTTTATCTAAAAACTAGTAAAAATCTTCTTGAATAAAAGCTCGCTACTTAACAAAAAACGGGATATTTATTTTTTAATTATTTTCCTATTAGTGGAACTTGTAAGTATTATATTAATATTTCAAAACGCGTATTTGTTTTGTTAAATTTCCTAATTGATTTGCCAGACCCTTGTATCTGTTGACTTGGAAAATTGCTCCATGTATCGCAGGTAACTTAAATTATGATTATTTTTTGTATAATTTACTTCAAACTAATTTTTTATCATTTTAACAGCTGGTTGCACCTGCGTAGCTAAACCCAGCGAATTGACCAGTGTGACCGCGTACAGTAAGCTTTCCAACAGCTGAAATCAGCTGATCAAACTCATCCAATCATATTACCATATTATTATATTAATTTTCTGCTTCCCCAAAAGTGCTTTGTCATGTTTTCAAACAAGCTGGTTTGCCTGAAGGTGTGGTTAACATAGTATTTGGCACAGGTAAGCGATGTTTACATTTTTATTATTAACCTTAAATTCTTTATTTTACAGTTAAATAAAAATATGTTATTCTAGGGCCAAAAGCCGGTCAAGCACTTGTGTCTCATCCTAAAGTACCTTTGATCTCCTTTACTGGCGGTAAGTTAATTATACGACTTTATTTATCTTCTTCCATAATTAGAATAGAACATTATAATAAGTTCTATCATCATTTAGGCACCGTAACCGGGAAAAAGGTTAATGAAACATGTGCTTCATTATTAAAGAAAGTTTCTCTGGAACTAGGTATTTTATCATTTTGCACAATTTCATTGCTATAGTACAAATTTTGATCTAATGTAAATCTTTTTTTTTTAGGTGGAAAAAATGCTAATATTATATTTGAAGATTGTGATTTTGAAAAAACCGTTGATACTAGCATTAGAGCCGCGTTTTCTAATCAAGGAGAGGTAATGACAAAATTAGCGGGTTACAATTATATTAATTACTTATAAAGAAATTTGTAACTTTAAATCTCAAAGATCTGTTTATGTGGATCACGAATATTCGTACAAAAATCAATCTATCCGAAATTCCTTGACGCGTTTATTTCAAAAACACGCCAATTAGTTGTTGGAGATCCAAAAGATCCTAAAACTAAAGTTGGCGCATTAATTAGTAAGCAGCACATGGAGAAGGTTCTTAATTATATTGAATTGGCAAAACAAGAAGGTGGTATTATCGAATGTGGTGGAAGAAGAATAATACTTGATGGAGAATTGAGTGATGGATACTTTGTTGAACCAACTGTAATCACAAAGTGAGTAAAAGATGGAATTTTCGAAATATTTATATAGAATGATTAATAACTTATTATTATTTAGTATTAAATCATCTTGTCGTGTTGCACAGGAAGAAATATTTGGACCGGTAAGTCTTTGGGATTGGTTATTTATAAATTCCAAATATTAATATATTTATTTACACTTTAGGTTGTAACGGTTCATCCATTTGAAACTGAAGAGGAGGTCATTAACTTGACTAATGACAATCAATATGGTTTAAGTTGTTCAATTTGGAGTGAAAATGGAAGACGTGTTCGTCGAGTTGCAGAATCTATTCAAGTTGGATATGTTTGGGTTAATTGTTGGATGGTTAGAGACTTGAAAGTGCCTTTTGGTGGAGTAAAGAAGAGTGGTATGTGAAACGCTTTATTTTTATCAGTCATGTTTAAAATAAATTAATTTACTTTTTTCATTAGGTATAGGAAGAGAAGGTGGAGAATATAGCATGAACTTTTTCACAGAACAGAAAACTATTTGTTTAGCTAACTAAACCTAACCTTATTTAATAATATTGAGGATGTTTAATTACACAATAAAATATCTTACCTAAGAAATTAATTAAAAATATCTGAATTTAATGTTATCGCGTTTTGCGTTCATTTAATGAATGAAAAATGTGAAAATGGTTCTTGTAAATTTTTTAAGCAGATGGATATTCACGGCTGTGTCGTGAAAATCACGGTGATCCGTGCATGTACAATTAACTAAAACTTTAAAATTTATACCTTTATTTAGGAACGTAGTATATTAATTATGTTTTCTTTTCTTTTCTTTTTTTTTTTTAAAAAAAAAAAAATAGAACCAGATAGTAAACTAGTAACTAATTTTTATAACAGCCATAGGCGATGCTAATGTTTACAAATATGGTGACGTGACACCGAACCGAGCCAAATTTACGTCAATAACTCTGGTTATAGCGATAGTGAAATTATGAGAATTCCAAATTTGTTTGCATGGAATAAGTAAGGGGATGATAATAATCTTTTTACAATTTTTTTAATTTATCAGCTTTTTTTTCCTTTTCATTAACTGGTAACGTGGTAGCGGTGGTGGTATGATAAGCTGTTCTGACGTGTTTTGTGTCCCTAATCGAGTGGCTTTGATGCGTTAACTTCCGCGCTTTTGTTTAGTTATTTGGTGAAATGTTTTAAATATTTTTGACGGTCCAGAAGCTTGGAAGATTTCTGGGTAAAAATTCATCGGGATTATTGTGAACGTAAATTGATAAAAATATTGAATGATTTCAATTCATAACATGTCACTCACGTATAGGATCATGTGACACCTTTTTAAATCATTATAAATAAATCATCCACAAGTTTTATTTGTGTATTCTTCTTCATATCATCAACTATTTTCATAACGAACGACCAAAAGAATTTATCCTTAAAGTAACCCTTCATTTCATTATTTCATTATGGACCAAATAATGTTTCAACGACAACCTGTAAGTTATCAACCTCCAAAACAAGAAACGGGGACAATGTCGCTCAGCGATAGGTGTGTTTACATGGATAGACTTTTTTTTTTCTTTTTCCTTTTAAAAAGGAAAAAAAATTTTTTTTATTAAAACCTTTTCTAAATTTTTTTTTCTTTCTTATCGACCTCGATAACTTTCAAATCATAAGGTTCACCTTAATTAAGTTGCAAAAACGTGATATTACTAATGATAAATCAAAATCGAACCGGGAAAAACCTCAAAAATACTACAAGGTTGGACAAGGTAACATGGCTCAAATAACAAGGATCATCTTTTACATTCAGATAAATATTATTTTAATGTATTAATTAATAATTTATACAAGGAATAGAAAATCGATCCGTCTTTAGTCGAATTGGTGCTGTCACACCTGTTTCATCTACATTTTATATCAATCACAAAAATCAAAATACGGAAGAGATTTGGGATCAAGGATCAATTAATGATGATGGAAATAAGAGAATGAAGGGAAATAGAACAAATCATGTAGATTTTAATTCAAAACTTTTTGTCATTCATGAAGAAGATGGTACGTTTTCTGAAGTAAAGGTGGAATTTGAAGGAGATAATGAGGGAAAAGAAGAAGTCGTGGCACCTAATTTTCAAATTGATCCCGCAACAAGGATTATTTCAAGGGTATTACCAAAGAAAAGAAAATTTGCTGTGGATATAAATGAACTCGATAGAGAGCTTGAAGAATATATGATTGCGGCACCTCGCCTTGCACCTCCCATTCCTCCTTCAAATATCAAGAATATAGATGAAGATTTAATTGATTTGATTGACTTTGATATTGATTTTATGGACATGGATGCATAAACTATTTTCAAACTTACTACCTTACTTTAATAATGGGAAAGGGTTCTTTATGTCGTTTTTAATAAATTTGTAGTTTGTAGAAATTTATGTTATTATTGTGATTTTGATGCGGAATCATACTCGTAAATCTTAATTCATTAAAGAACTATTATTATAAAGAATTGTAATCCCTTACTGGTTGTATTATTTTTCTGTAATGAATATGAATTCTTATATTAAATATATAATGAATTATTTTGGTTTATTAACGATTAAAATTCAAATAAAATTATGTAAAAAGGTATAATGAGAGCTGTTACAAGTTCTTTTTATGTTTTGATGGACCTAGCCTGATAAATAAATTTTTAAAGAATATATTTTCTAACGTTATCAATATTTCATACCTTGCATTTAAAGAGTTCATTTATAGAGGGTTTTTAATTACTGTACAAATCTGTAATATATCATTAGAAAATCTAACAATTTTTTAAAGTTCTCCTCGAGCTAGTTTCAAATCGAGAACTTCTAAGAATAATCCTTTTTTTTTTTAAAGAAAAAAAAATATATATATATACATGTATATATTTTCATGACGAGAAATTTTCAGAATTATTTAATTTATTTATTCATTAATAAAAATATTTCTTTAAAAAAAAAAAAATAATAATAATAAAAGTTAGTTAAAATTGCAACGTCAGAAATATATATACCGTACATGAATTGTAAAATTCATTCTTTATGCTTCGGCTTCATATAACTTTATGACTGGTATTTATTTGTAGAGATAACCGAAGTTTCGCCCAATTACTATATGTAATTATATTCGCAGAATCGAAACTATTTGGTCCAGGAATGCAATAAAGCTATTCCACTAAAAAGAATTTTATATTCTTATCTGTCGTCATTGTAGAGTAAAATGTACACTATGCAACCATTTAGTTGTAAAACTAAAAATTCTTCGATCATAAAAATCGAGATCATAAGAAAAAGATCGGCCAATCAGACCTTCGTAATAGAAAATTTTATTTAGCGTTAAAATAATTTTAAAAGTAATTAAAGGACATATTTTTTTTTTATAATTCAAACAATTACTTTTAAACTTACTTTATTTTTTATTAATAAAAATAAATAGATAAAAAATAATTTACGTATAATAAAAGAAAAAAAATTGTATATAATATACCGGTATATATAACAATTTCTTCCTTTTCGAACTCTATCATAAATCTACTTATTAATTGATATTAGAAATAAATAAATTTGATTGCATTTATTAGTGAAAGTAAAGATAACCAAGTTTTTGATAACCAAGTTTTTATATAAAATATTTCCCACAAAAATCGGTGATTGTGAATTTTTTAAATTATTATAATTTTGGCCGGAATTATAAATCGTATCAAAATATGATCAATTGATAATTGCTCGGACAGACTTACCAGAAATATAGCCGTTTTCAAATTAGTGTGATCAGGCAGTGATCGGCAATTATAAAAAACTCACGTGCTCATATAAAAACATAAAATATTTTTCGATCTGCATAGTTCTAAGACCACTTTCGTTAATGGTTTTTTTATTTCGCTTTATATTTTACTAGTTATGTAAGTACCGATTCCTAAATGATTCCTAAAGATTCTGTAGATTCCAAAACGATTACAAAACAATTGCAAATATAATTTATAATAAAAGTGGTTTTATTTTTTATAGGTGAATTCAACTATGCCTTGAGAGTTCAGTAAAGACTTATTTATATTGGCGTATTATTTATCTCCATATTGATGGATTGTCTACTGTAGATATTGCTAACACTTTACATATGAGTAAAGATGTTGTAAATATAATAAAAAAAAGATATATATGCTGGGCATGTGTTCAAAATCCTTTCAAAAATGTTCCTGGTCAAAGAAAGCTATTTAGTAGAGAAGATATGGTTATACTTAGAAATCTTGTAACAGAAAAGTGGATTGGTATTTGGATGAGTTAGCATATGAAATGGAATGTTTAACTGGAAAAAGAGCATCTGTTGCAACACTTTGGCAGTCACTTCAATATTTAGGAATTACTAGAAAAAGGTAAATTATTTTACTTACAGTATTGATATATTATAGATATTTTGATATACAGTCCCCAGCGAAAAGAATGGCAGTAGTAATACTGCATTGATTTTAGGTCATGACATGTTCAGTTTTCCGATTTAGGCCATAATTTATATGACCAAATCAGACAATGGAACTCCAATTTAAAAGGGTAAGACAAATTTGTTTTTGTTTTGATTTTGATTTTGATTTTATCCCCATGATCATGTTAAGCTCCCTTGAAATAAAATGAAACTCAGTGTTAACACTCTAAAACCAAAATGTGTATAATGCGAAGGAAATTTCATAATGATTGTGCATTTCTTTACGCACATGTGATCAATATGTCAGTTTACTACATAAAACTAGCAATATAATTATAAATCATTTGATGTATTTCTTATCACAATCTAGCAGGAATAGGACAAGCTCGATAATGATATGTTACTTAGATGTATAATAGCATGTCATACTGGATTAAAGCATGTATCGATGCAGAAGGAAGTCACACAAAATATTAATTAATTAATAAAAATTGTTTCATTAGTATTGGCAATTAATTAAAAAAAATTGTATTTAAATAATAAAGATTTTACATATCGTTTAAAATTGTGTCTGCCATTCTTTTTACCAGGGACTATATGTAACTAATTTATATATTTTTTTATCAAGTTACAAAAAGTAACATTAGAAAGAAATACAATTGTTCGTACACATTATTTAGCTATAATTGGTGAATACTATACATGAAATCAACTTATTTTTCTTGATGAAAGTGCTAAAAATGAAAGAAGTTTGTCACAATTATATGAACATTCACCTAAAAATACACCCACCCAAAAGAAAGTAGTTTTTATATGAGAAAAATGATATACTATTTTACCTGCATTTACGTTAGATGGGTTTATTGCTATTGATGTATTTGAAGAACCTTATAATAGAAAAAATTTGTTGATTTTATTCTTAATCAAGTGGTAAATAATAATTTATACATTTTATTTGATTTTTTTTTATATTATAATTATTAACGCTAAAATTTATTGTTATTTTTTAGGTATATATAATGAATCCATATCTAGGAGACAATAGTGTTATTGTAATAGATAATGTTAGAATTCATCATGATAATGAATTAAGAATATTATTAGAAGGGTTAGGATGCTGTGTTATTTTCCTTCTACCTTATTCTCCTGATTATAATCCTATTGAAATAGCATTTTCAGCATTTTCAACTATTAAATCATGGATTAAATGTAATCATTATACATGAAGTCAAAATAGATCATTTCGGATATCTGAAATGGTTGAAATGGTCGAAATCATTTCGACCATTGAAGGCTAAAGTCGCGAAATAGTCGAAATGACGTCATATCACATGATTTT